GCAGCCAGGGAGCGGGAACCCTCGGGGCGGGGAGGCACCGCCAGCCGCGGCTGCTCCCGGCACCAGGAGATCCCTTGTAACCCTCTCCCAGCGCTGTCCAAACATTAGGACACCTTGGCTCCAGGCCAGGGCCGGGGGAAATCACTTGGTTCTCGATGCAGTTCCGTTTCCATACTCCACACCGCCACAAAGCGCAGTCAGCCAGGACCTGACACGGCCAGACACAAAGGGTGCATGGAAGAGAACCTTTCACTACATTTGTACAGCTGGAAGAACCAACAGTCCCTCTCCCTAATGTCCTTGAACTCAACAAGAGGTAGGGCTGCTTTTGACAGCTTTCCCTAACTCTTCCCCCAGTCAGATCCTCCACCCATCGAAGTCACATCAGCCTTTTTCAACCCTTCCTAAGTCCTCCCCCCCCTCAATCGGAACAGCAGCTTTTATGAAAAAAATTCAGCTCTGCTGCAAACCACGTAAACCAATTTGTAAATACAGCTTGCCCTGCCAAAGAACAGCCGCTGTTTTTTCTTTCAAAGGTGAACCAGCAAATTCTAGATTTAAAAAACAATTCGAGGATTGGGTATGATTTTATTTGTCCTCAGGGAAAAAAAAAAAAAAAAAGATAAAATAGTTACAAATAAAGGAACTTTAATTCTCAGATAATATAGAACAGTCCAGTCAGTGGCAGAACACCACAGTGTTTACAGTTCGCAGCAGCACCTGGTGGCAACAAACGCGAGATCATTACCCTACAGCTGGAAAGTCGCTGAAGTCTGTGACATTCCACTGTAAATATAGGTGTTATTAAAAATTACAAACTGTCCTGTAATGACTTTGATAACCTCCTGTGCAGCAGCTCCTGTAAAGTTAAAAAAAAAAAAAAAAAAAAAGGTAGTCAGCAGGTCATATTTAAAAAACAGTAAAAATGGTTTTTATCTAGAACTCACTACACTGGAATTATTTGGGAACCTGATATAACTCCTAGAAGGAAAAAAAATGCCTTCTAGTACTTCCCAGTATAAAAGAAGCTCAGAAAGCTGTTACTTCAAGCTTTACATACACTTTGTTGTATATACTTTCTCTCTCCATGTACATACACACAGAGTAAAACTGTGTAAGCAGACAGACTCATGCAAGTTATGTCCTCTCATTGAAATTGACAAGTTAAATTTAAAAAAAGAAGTATAGCTAAACTGCAAAATAAATTGAAGGGTCACTATTTTGTTCTCCTGTAGTATGAAATATTATTTAATTTCTTCAGAAGTTATCTTTACATATTTTTGTAAAGCACTGCACACACAAAGTTTCACTTAATCAGAAAGAAATTCCTACATCCACAGAGTATTTAATACATTATTATCTTCAGCAAAACAAGATAAAAAAAGAAGGTAAGTTAACTGATAGATCAATTTTGAACACCTATTAAAACACACTTAGTTTGGATAATACCTGCAGGTTGAATTAATGTAAGCAATCAAGGCTATTTGTATTTAATAGATTTTGTTCTAAGACTCTCTTTGACTACAGTATGTGATTAGTCTTTGCTCTGACAATACAAAGTAATTAGAACAGTGGAGATTCTGATTCAAGTAGGTAATTTGTGTGGACCCCAGAAATACAGTGGCATTCTTACCTCCCATGAAGGCAGCAATAGCATGTGGCTCAGCAGCTCCATAGCGACAACTGGATAGCAAAGGAACAGTCAGTATTTTCAGACCAGTTTTACTGACAAAGGGACACTTAAGATATAATACTCACAACTCATGAACATAGTCATCTTTCACCACTACAGACAACCCATGTTCTTGTAAGAAAGCAGTAAGGCATGCCTTTAGTTTTCCAATATCATCTTCTACCTGATAGTTATAGACACCTGGAAAATAAGTTAACTGTTTCACGACAGAACTGCAACATCATATTCAAAGTTAACGGGTTTAAATAGCAGCATAAGTATTTTATTTTTTTGGAAAAGTTTCTAAGATTATTTATACATTAAATTCGTAACACTAGACTAATAATAATTGAATATTCTGTTGATACTACTCATGACAATGACAAATTGCTGCATAGCTTAAGTGATTCATAATCCAAGCAACCCATTTCAGTGGTATCAATTCAGATAAATTCCTTAAGTTCCCAAAAAGAAAAAATTCTCATTTTAATTTTCACAGTTATATTTACATAAAAAATATGTAAAGAAAACCACAACTAATGCTAAACAACTAATGCTATATTTGTAGTATAGGAACTATTGGATCTTTATATTTCTTTTGATGATGTTAAGTAACTCTGGTATTAACATACCTGGATATCTACCATGCTGCTTATAAAATCTATCTACAGCCCGTAGCATCAAGTACAGCACTACTTCACTGTCTGGGTTATCCATATGGGAAACTGAAAACAGCAAGAGAACTGGTTAGCTGGTACAGATGAAATGGAAAAGAAAGCCTTTAAATTGCTTGAAATCAAGTATTTCCCATGTGCTTAAACTAAAATCTGCAGTAAGAAATCTTAATGAAAACAACCTGCAACTGAGAATCAAAATGAGTCAACTGCCCATACATGATTTTGACTCCAGAGTGTATGACAAAACCATACTGTATGTATTTGATATAAACTGTTCACTGAAGATATTCACGTTTCAACTCTGACAGCTGCTATAACAATAAATGGGATATTCCTTAGTTAGAATTTGGGGATTTGAAACTTCATATTTAACTGTAATGATTGTAATTATAAAACAGGGCTTAAATCCCTTAACATACAGCTCAGTATTCTTTTTGTCTGTTTTTAGTCTGTTTGACGGTAAGGTCATTTTTGAACTTTCAAAATGAAACTGAATTCAACATTCTAAACTTAAAAAACCCCATACTTCCAGTCAATGCCAAATTATAAAACTGCACAATGGCACAGAACATGCAACATACAATTATTTTCAAACACAAAATCATTTAAAGTTGAAAATGCAGTTAAAGTATGTGCCAAAAAGAAGTACTTACTGATTTCATCCTTGTTAAAAGTGTTTAAACCGTATTCTTCAGACAGAGATCTACACCGCACTACTCGGAGAAAAGCTGAGTTGCTGCCTAAGCAGAGGGTGCAGAAAAGGAGAGCATTACCTACTTAAATACGTCACCAACTACTAAGTCTTTTTAAGTCTGTAACCCTGATGTGTTAAATATGAAAGACTTAGACTTACGGTAATTTCATTTAACACTTTTCTGTTTCTTTTGGTAGCCTGAAGTAATAAAATCTATGAGACTACATTGTGGTCTATGATCACAAGTATTTTGGTGAAATATGTCGTGCTTATTCACTTCTAGAATCTAAACGTATGTGCCGCATTAATGTAACAGTGCACAACGTGTGTAGCTCTGCTACAGCAGTTCATCAGTCACAGCCATCAGCTCCGTGTTCTTCTCTTCCATGCTGCAAATGAACATGAGTTCTTTCCATCTTCTGTTACATCCACCACTGTCTCACATGTTCTCAATAATCTAGCAGTACAGCTACAAGTGGAAAAAGGTTCTTCTCCACTACAAAACAACTTGCTACAAAACAACACAATGTGCAGCTACTACCTAGCACTCAAAAATGAGGAACTGGGAGTTCTCAAACTCCCAGCAAATGATGTATCAACGCAGGGGCAGCGCGCTGTTGGCTACAGGCTTACAGGAAAATTTTCCAGTTGCAGGGAGACTTAACCAGGCTGCTCTGTGGACAGGTATACACATCCAGAACAGATATAGCCTCAAATGCCATCAACAGCACTACTCACTGCATCACTTTCTTAGTTTTTCAGACTACCAGAAGTTTACAGAGCCTGCACTCTGAAGTCAGTATCACAGAACAGACAAGAGTGATTAGATACTCATCACAGAAAGCATATGACATCTGCTACCTGTTGTTTGGACCCCCCCCAAAATAATCTCTTTTAAAAGCCAACCTTTATAGACTCACTACTGAGAGGTGCTGAACATCTGTTACTTCCACTGAAGGATGCAACTGCTAAGCAACTATTTGAAAAATTCAAATACTGAGTTACTGACTAATAACTAAACTGTCATTCATAAGTTTTTGATCATTTGCATACGCACAGCAACAGAATCCAAGCATACTCACAAAGCAATTTTAATTCTCTCTCGGAAATAGACTCAGGTGCCTAAAAAGAGAATACACTCATTCCAGTCCATATGATGAGCAGAGAATTTATATTTTCAGAGATATTCATACATTCATTGTGAAATAACTAGTCATTCTTGTACAAAAGGTATCTTAAATTATAAATAATATATCCCTGTATGCCTTTTACTTTTATGTGACCAAACCAAAAACAATAAATAAAACAGACCACAGATAGTACATTTCATTAGAACATACTTAAGCCTTTTGAAGAGAATTAGGTAATTAAGCTTCTCTTTTCATATCTGTCTCCTGTGACTTATTTCTGTACAGAATGTCAGGGAAAAAGTATTTCTATCCTGTCAGAATGGTCGCACATTTGTAATTACCTTGCCTAGGGACTGTAGCAATTTAGCAGCATGGTTACCCACAGCAGCAATGTCCTTCTTTGCTTTTTCACGGTATCTGTTAATAATAAAAGAAAGCTTAATAATTACAGCATAAAGCCATCAACTTCACAGTGAAGACAATTTCTTTTTTTTTTATATTATAAAGACAAGATAGAAGCCACATGAATGGAAGTGAGCTACCTCAAGGCCATGAATGCATTTACTACCTCCCTCTGTGACTCTCTGGCATGACTGAGCTGTTCACTAAGCATGTGGCTTAAAATTACGTGCATAACTGTTTTCTAGAAACAGGTTAAAATTAAAATGAATATTACTACAGCCAGAGTTTCAGAACTACTTAATGGCCTCCTGTATGCCCTCCACTGAGCTTCTAATATTTTATTAATTTCTATATTTTAATATTTGTAGCCACAGTATATTCTGTTAAGAACTATGACAATACAAACATCTCAACAACAGTTTTTGATAAAATTCAATTTCAGAGCTCATTTTAAGGAATTGTAGTTGTTTTATCTGCAAATTAAAACCCTGTAATGCTTATGGGAATTGAGAACTGAAGTACATAGTATTTTGTAAATTCAGCACTGATGCTTATAGAATTCAGATATGCAAACTATTAAGGCACAGAATCCTTTTTCTAGTAGAGGTTGTGTTTCAGAATCTATGAAGAAACAAAATCTATTAGAAATAATACTTTCTTATTTGAACAATTCAACAGTACAATTGCACAGACAATAAGTTTAACAGTCTTCTGCAAGATACTGCTTCCCTTTAAAGGTTAAAAAAAAAAGAAGACAAAGCAATCAGCTGCAAAGAAAATGTAGTGACACTAGGAAAGTCTTTTTCGCCCAACAATTTGCATCAAGTCCAGGATGCACAGGAATAGTAAGCTCATGCTGAGGATACATGCATTCAAACATGGCCTTCCTAAAATCTTGATCCACACTGATGCTGTTTAGAATCTGCAGTTAATATTCATTCACATCCTTCCTTACCTTCCAAGCAATCCCTTCAAAGGACATTAATTAGAACTAAGTATTTAGAATTAAATAGCTAGGAAACTAGAACTTCTGTAACCAGGTTGACATACCTATTGAGGAGAAAAACCAAAGGCTGTGTATAAGCAACAATTTGCTTTGGACACCAGTAGCTAGGCTATGAAAGCTACTAGCTGTAGGAAGGTCTTTACTAGATCTGAAACTAAGAAAAGTGATCACTTACTACCCAGCCTTAGGAAGCTGGGATGCCCTGAAGGCTTGGGCCCTGGTTCCAAACAGCAGACAGCATCAATACAGGGAGCAGACAGTCCCAGGCACATCCTGCCGTGTTTTCCACACCTCCCCTCACCCCAGTCTCACAACACACTTTTTTTTTTTAAATACAGGAATTCATGCACTTTGTGAGGTCTGAAGTCATCACCATTTACTACCACTAGTAACTATGAAAGAAAAAATTGTATACTTACACATTTTGCAATTTGATAAATTTACCGGAGTCTGCTATCATATCAGGAATAGTGCCCCGGACAGGCAAGCTTCCTTGCCCCTCATTTGCCACAAATTCCTTTACAGCTCGAGCCAAAATCCAGAAGGAGGGTGACTGCAAACGCACAAGAAAGTCATGTACACAAATGTTATTCATGATGCTTTTTCTACATTTAAGTCTTACTTGTAATTACACATTACCTGCTCTGTAAGATTTATGCAGCAGTCGTCATTAAAAATCTCTTCAATGCATCTTGGAATCTGTGAGGGGAAAAAAAAAAAGCTGGGTTTGTGACTTGGCTTTCAATTTCTTGAATCTCAACACTCACTAGGACAGGAGAGCCAACTCCAAGCGACCTCACAGTTCCATATCAAAATCTCTTCTGAATCTTACATAGTCAGTGCTTCTCAGACATATTCTGAATAGCGGCACTGCCTGAGAACAAGGCACACGCTTCTGATCAAGATGAACGTTACAAAAAAAATCTCACCTTATTTCCATCTTCTACATGGAAGATGGGAAAAAAAAAAAGGTAGCAGCATCAGCATAAGTCCCAGCTGCACATCCTACCTGCCAGAGGCAAGGCAGCCAGGGAAGAGAAGAGGGCCGGCAAAAGTGAGAGTGTTTTGACTCCTGAACTGCTGCAGTTCAGTCTGGCACACCAATGGAAATAAATAAGTAATACCCTGGGACACGGCTTGCAGTGACTCAGATGTCAGCACTAAGTTTTACCTGCTGCTTTCTTGGGATACTTAACGTGACTGTCCAAGCAAGGATCAGCACAGCTCAAATAAAAATGAAAGGTAATCTAGAAAAAAATCACAGAATGTGCTTTTACCCCACGTAGCTTTTGCAATTTACCATGGATGAGAGATTAAGGAAATCGGACATCAATTCTAAATCATGAGTTACTACTTGAGGATTATTTGAAAATAATAATTATTTGAAAATAATTACTATGAAAATTTCATTTCTAATGTTTTTAAGCTTGATCAGTTTATGAAAGGAATTTCATAACATGTTTCTTCAAGAGGAAAGTACTGAATTTTCTGAGTCAAAGATCCCTTGCAGCAGTTAATTTCTATACAGAATAAATACTACAGCAAGTGGCTTCAATACAGCACAATTTCAACAAATGTTTTCTGAGCCTCTCTCCTGGCAATGTACTTAAATCAGACATCACACACTCCAGTGACTGCTAATTCTTTATAATTGCACTAAGCACTTTACAGTTTAATCTGTGAAAGAAAATCTGACGCAGACTAAGACAGGAATACCCTACTAATGAACTCTGGTTACTGACCCATTCTATACTTGAATTCAAGTCTGCAGGAAGGAAATGTAGCTTCTTTGCATGAGCAAGGAAATAACAGAATTTCCACAATTTACAGTGCCACCTAGTCTACTTCTATTTCACTACACATCATTTCAAATTTTAAAAATTGTATTAATACTGCTTTACCCAAATATAAATGTTGCAAATTGAATTTCTGTCCTAAAAGTGCATAACAGATTTTGAAAAAATGGGGTGGTTGAAATGTCTTCAGTTTTGTCATATAAATGTTTATTTTACCTCTGTAGTATTTAATGCTGTGTTCACATTTTTTATTGCTTCTTCAAAGTTTTCCTCATCTTCTGGGGTCCCATTTTCATTCTTTAAGATACCTTTTTGAAAAAAAAAAAAAAAAATAAAAAATACACAATCCCCTGAATTACATCATATTTAGGTCTTACCAACAGACCGGATTGGCTTTGGATTTATTTGTAGCATAAATAACTTAGCAGCAAAAAACTGAATTATCAGCAAGACTTACTGATAAAACTACATGCATATACATTCCACATATGATTAATTTTCCTGTGACGTTAAATGCAAGTTACTTATCACAAAAATCCCAGTTTATTTGTGTGAGAAAGAGTAAAGTTTCATAATCACTAATCTAATGTAGGTGGTGGTAAAAAGGCAATTCAACCACCCTTCCCATCCGCAGTCATTTTTTGTTGGGGTTTTTTGGTCAAATTTGGCAAACACTTATGAACCCACACAGCAAGCCAGACCAAGTAATGGAGTCCACTAAAAACCTAATTTAAACAAAGGTAATTACTACAGATCAGATGGACCTAGCCCAACCTGTGGATAACGATTACAGAACCACTCAGCAATGTGCACACAGGCCAGCTTTAAACGAGGACATAGCAAAAATTCAGTTTATGTTTTTATTCTACAATTATTTAAGACAATGTATTTCCAGATCTTAAAAATGTGTCATTAATTTTAGCACCTGTAAAAGGTATTAGACTAAAATATCTGCAAAAATGAAGTCTGTTCACATACTGGTTACAGTGTATTCAGTAGCTACAACATCCTTCTTTCTCTCTCTCTCTCTCTCTCAAGACTAGTTATTTAGAGCTGCAATGATTACCAACAGTTTGGTGGGTTGACTGATCAACCAAATACTTGCAGCTAATAACTGAAATTTCAGTGTCAAAAGCCACTTGCTTTCCTCTTTGCTGTATTTTCCATGTTAAACATCGATATCTTCTACAGGAGTTTCTCTCAAGGCCTCTCCCCTCACCCAAATCAAAACATATTCTTGATCTTAAACAGCAAACAGTAAGAAACACTGACAAACTGCATTTATAAGCAATCTGGGATCTTAGGATCCACCTGTATAAAACAGTCATTTAGCAGAAGAATCGTACCAGAAATGCCAGCAGGTTTTCATAAATTAACCCTGAGAGAACTGATTATTTTTCAGATACTACTTTACATATTTCTGCCAGTATTAATAAGGAACTCCTAGGACATACATTACCTTGCCGAATCAGTTGTCTGAACGCTTCTTTTTCTTTGTAACTCCTAGGCAACTGATCACTTTTCTAAATTGAAGAACACAAAAACATTTTGTATTTAAAACATCTACTACTAACCACATTGTGTTCAGACTGCTGAACTCTAGAAGACTGTCACCGTTCACATACATTCACTTGTATTTCAATTACTAATTTTATTTTTATGGTTCCATCTTGTTTTTTTTATTTGCTACACGTTTCCAAAATAATAATCTAGTTTAGAAAAGACTTATCTAAAGCAATAATAATCATGATAGACTGACGACTTATGCCGTTTTGCAATATACCTCGTTGAACCATTTGGTTAGATACTTTGCTACAATCACAATCCATGGAGTGTGGCTGTGGTCCTGTAATTGAACAGCAGAGAAATCTTTGTCAAGGTAAGAAAAGATAACAACAGGAGACAAATTAAAAACCCATTTAAAACATAAACTTAACATCTCTTCCACTACCACAAGTAGTGGCAATGGGGAATCAATCTAACAACAGATTAAGTTGTCCAAGAATATGCCTTACTTCCCAAGACCCCCACTTGCTTAAGATTCAAAAACAGACTATCATTTAGGGAGGAGGCCAAAAACAGTACCTCGTGACTGATTCTACGGTTGCCTCTGCTCACACTAGACTTGGCACCAAAAAAAGTCGCCTGCCAAGAGTCATTTTCACAGAATCCCCGTTCTATGTCTGCATCTGTCTTAGAGCACATAGCGCAAACCACGTACTAACCTTTTTGTCCATATGATCCAAGTCATAAGACTGAATGTGTTCCCTCAGTTCTGGAAATGGTTTGTCCAGTCTCAGATCTTCTAATGTATTGTCAGGATGAGATTCAACAACTGTGAAAAAAATTACACAATGCATTTCACAGTTTTATGTCCAGCCTTCAAAACAGGGCTATACATCAATACAGCACATCACCTGCTCACTGAACTGCCTGCTTCTCAAAATAGGTGTTTTGCATAAGTTAGGATGTCAGGATAATCTCTAATGTCAGGATAATCTAAAATTTTACTACTTGTTACAGTCCATAATTTCTACGCATTCCTCAAAGAATGCTCCTGGTGAAGAACTCCAAACTACGTAAGACTTAACAAATACTAAATTCTATCACAAGATAAAGAATAATAATTAAAAAAAATCGTGACATTACATATTGAAGCTTTAAACCTTTTAGAAAAGTCTTTATCTCGGAAAGCTCTCTAACCTGTGTGTTCTTTAATAATGACTCTCATATAACCAACCAGTCCATAAGTCCTGCAGACCAGCAGAGGAACGTTAGAATTCCAGAGAAGTTCAGCCAAGCGCAGTAACGTACTGTTAGAAAAAACAATGATTTTTTCAGATGTACAAGAGGACAACAGTTAACTATAAAGTTCACTCTTACAGAAGTCACTTGTGAAAAATAAGTTTTCTATGACATAATACTGATATTATCATTATTCTAACCACACAGAATCATAATATTAGTTAGAATAATTAATAGAATTAATGCACATATTAATTTTATACGTTAATTTATACTGTTAGAAATGTATTTATCTCTTAGCTTACTATTTAAGTCCATCCTCCCAAACGCTCAAAAAAATCAATTAAACAAAAAACTTCAACGAGTTGTGAAAGAAATAAAAAAAGAATTAGATCTGTGTGCTGCACAAACAGAACTTCCAGTCGGGGCAACTCCAATCAGAGGTTCTTGAACAGCACACAAGAAATACTCTTCATTCACAAATGCCTGCAAGGGAATCACCACTTCAGAGGGAAGTTGGCTCTTACTTCCGTAAGAGACAGTATCTCTGGCTCCTCTCTAAGCAGGGGAATGGAGAAATATATAAAGTATGAACAACAGCCACCTCCTGACAAGAGCAAGATTTAACTATCCACCCATCCAGCAACCTCTTGCCTCTGTGGAGGCAGCCTGTCCACTGAAACAGAAACACGCTTTCTCCCCCAAGTTCCTCAGTACTCAGAGTTGTCATTTTTCATCTGTTCTGTTTACTGGAAGGCAGCATGGGAGAGGCTGTTAAAAAAATAATAATCAAGAACTTCTGGTCTTGACAAAGTTTATATGGTCAATATCATTACATATATGGGTAAAGTGGAAGACCTGTACAAATGATAGAATACATTTGCAAAAATCTAAAGGCATGACAGCTCCTATTATCTGTTAGGTTTCACATAAGGAGAATACTTGTTATAGTGATTTCAGACCTGAAACAACTTTCACTACAGAACAGTACTTGACATAGACAAATACACCTGAAGGCAGCACCTGGGAGTCAGGGATGGATCTGAAAGATGTTGTGAGCTATGTATTAACATATAAAAAGGTCCGCAGAAAAATGCCACAGTTTACTGTAACTTTCCTTCACAACGAGAGAGTTCTGTTTTGCGTAAGTTTTCCTGCAAGAATATGCCTGCAATTGAAACCTGCTTTTACAGCTGAATGAAAATAAACAAACAAACAACTTTAGATTATTTACCTTTCTGGCAGTTGTGTTGCAACCACCAAGTTAAACCGATTAAAAAAGGAAGGGTCATTGTCTAGAAGTTTTTCTGGACTCTAAATAGTAGGAAAAAATAAATTTGTCAGGAAACACTCTGAAAACTTCTGAATACATAGCAAATCTGTTCAACATTCAATGTAAAGTGTTAAGTAAAAGCTATAAAATTATGATGAAATTATAAAATAATGTTTAAAATCAATAAATTGACTTGGCGCAAATAGCTGAATATTTTCTTCCTTAAATGTTGCTTTATCATGAAGCCACTTAACTGCAACATCACAAAGACAACACATAACTACTTTTATCACATTGTATAACAAGAAACATACAAATAATTTAGGAAAACAAACCTCTTCGACAAAGTTTCCAGAAACATCATTATTCAATTCTTGCAAAAGCTCAGTGGCGCTCTGGGCACGATTCTGTTTCAGAACAATCAGAACAGTGTTTAACCACTTGAAATGTAAGTTACATAATATATAATATATCAGTATTACATATGCTACATGCTTAAAAAAAAAAAAAAAGGACTTAATAATCATAAACTAAGATTTCTTCATTTCTTATTCCAAGCCTTGCTTATCTGAAGAAAAAATAAATCCTTTAACAGCTGGCACTTGTTTTAGACCATTTTTAGTAACATAATTTTAAAAACAAAAGTTATATGATAGCAATTTATTAATTTCCTGGAGTTACCTATGCCTTTTGCACTCTCCTGCTTGTGTGATTTTTCCTTTCCCCACCCACCTCTCTCCTCTTAGCTTTACTCCCTCAGCCACAACTGTCTTCTACCTTATCCTTCCAAAGATTTTCTTAACCACATCCTATTCATTTTTTTCCATTCAATCTTATCAGAATTGAGCTTATCTTCTCACTTAAAGCAACTGAAAAGTAAGCATGGGGAATTTTATCAAAGAATAAATAGATTTTAACCTATACATGTATGTTTCTAGCCTTACTCTTAATACTGCACTGGAATATTTACTCAATACTTTCATGCTTCCAATGCACCTGAAGTGGCATTTGTTATCTCCTTACCTGACCAATATGGCTTTTTTGTAGAAAGAAACTGAAAAAGGAGACAAGAAAAATTGTTACATGTGAAGTTTTATTTATAAGGGAAAAAAAATTAAAGCTACATTTTGTAGTGGAGAATACATTGCTGACTCTCATACACCAAAACCCAAGTTTCCCCCTTCAATCTGCTTTTCTTCTCCCTACCACTGTAATATTTTCCTCATGACGCGTTTCTTAAGGAAATTTTGCCTGAGCTGCAAATCTGAAAAATAAGACATGCCAAACTCCTCTAGAAGCCAGGATCATACTGCAGATTCTTTTTCACTAGGCTAATTAAAGACCCATTAGCACTCATTTCTTCATGTAATGGAATAGCCTTCCCCTACACATAACCCCTGTAAGTAGACAGATATTTGTAGGTATCCACCATAAGAGAATTTGATCTAGAATTAATAAACAAATGATTTTTTTAATAGGATTTGTAAAGTTTCTTATCCTTTCCTCTGCTGCACACAGCCCTTCAAAGCTATGGAAGCTAATAATTGTCTATCAGTCACAGTTTCACAATGATAAAGTCATGAAAAGTTAGTTCTTTTCATCACCAAAATTACAGAAAATACATTTAGCAGTGCTGAAACACAAACAAATCTTGCACTGTCGTATCTCAAAATTACAGCAAACAAGTTATTTTAAGGTATTTTTATATTGAGTAGACTACTGTCTTTATAAACTTGATTTGTGAAGCAAACAGACCTCTAAGATACAAAAACAGCAACAAAAAAACCTGTGTAAAATTCTGCAGCTAATAAAAAAAAAATGTGCATGCTGTGTATGTCACAAATATCCAAAACCACTGAAGACTTCCAAGAAACGTATAGAGGCTTTTAAAATTATTAAGAATTTTACAGGATTTCTTAATGAGTATAGAGACAGAACTACTTATGAAACCTTGTTATTTCTCAGTTTGTATTGGAAGCTAGTAACAAACCTACTTATTTCCAACATCTTCTCCAGAGACCCGACTCCCATCGACAATTGTAAATGAACCAATACCTTGGGGGAAAAAAATATTATTAATAACTATGCATTATGAAATATCAGATACATTACAAATAAATACAGAAGGAATATCCATTTACCTGGCAGCACTAAGTTTTTGAGTATTTCGGTTCCTGTCGCTGTTGCATTTATCACACAAACATGAGCAGATTCTAACGCTTCTTGTCCATGGTCACCCCACAACCTACATGGGAATGGAAACAGAAACATCCCGAAATTATTTTGTTTCAGATGGTAAAGTCAATATAAAGAAATAAAAAAATTTAAACAATCCCAAATGGAGGCCAGCATACTATTTTCCATTCACTATTGAGAGGGGGTAAATAGCACTAACCAAAATAAACTATCCTTAAGGAAACTTACTGTGACAAACCTGGAACTTTCTCAAGAGCAATCTAATTTTACTGATGCTTTATTTTCTCCACCTTTATGCTCTACACAATATCCATGCAGACACCTTTTTCTAATGTAACACACACTCCTTACACAAATTTTGTCCTAAACCCAAATGTTCTCTTTTTCATAAGTTATAAATATTTTTTTTTCTAATACCACACACTGAAACATACAAGCAGATGGAAATCACTCTTGATGAGTTTGGTAATGAACTTAAGGCATTTATAAAACAATATTCAGGCTGAAACTGGGACTGGACACGGTCACAACCGCCCCGCTGATTCCACACGGGCAGCAACTTCACTCTCTTCAGCTGCAGAACAGGAAGTTACTGAAGAGACGCCGCAGAGCGCCAGAGCTATTCCGAAGCCTTTCAGATGTACGGAGCACGGCAACACTAACCCGCGCCGCGGCCAAACACCGGCCGGCTCCAGCACAGGCCGCCCTTCTCCCCGTTAACTTCGCTCTTTCCT